ATATCCTAGTCTTTAGTAAGACCCTCCAGGAGCACCAGGGTCATCTGAGGCAGGTCTTGGAGAAGCTTAGAGGGGCTAACTTCAAGATCAACGCGAAGAAGTGCGAGTGGGCCAAGACGCAAGTCTTATACTTGGGCCACGTGTTGGACGGAGATGGCATTAAGCCAGAGGACAGCAAGATCGCGGCGATCAGAGATTGGCCGACGCCCCGCACATTGACAAAGTTGCGGTCGTTCCTAGGCTTAGCTAACTACTACAGGAAGTTCGTGAGGAAGTTCTCCACTATCGCCGCTCCCTTGCGCAGGTTGATGAAGAAAGAGACAATCTGGCAATGGGATAAAGACTGTACGTATGCGCTAAAAAAGTTAAAGCGCGCGTTAATAGAGTATCCTGTCCTCAAGGTTGCAGACCCGTCCTTGCCATTTGTCGTCACCACGGACGCGAGTAAGTATGGGATAGGCGCCGTGTTGCAACAAGATGACGGCAATGGCTATAGACCCGTAGAGTTCATGTCCGCGAGGATGCCTTGTGAGAAAGTCGCTACCTCCACGTACGAAAGAGAACTCTACGCCCTCAGGCAGGCTTTAGACCATTGGAAGCACTACCTGCTTGGGAGGCACTTCAAAGTCTACTCGGACCATGAAACACTTAGATGGTTGAAGACCCAGGCCAAGATGACACCTAAGTTGACCAGGTGGGCTGCAGAGATAGACCAATTCGACTTTGAGCTCAAGCCAGTGAAGGGCAAGTACAACGTAGTGGCGGATGCTCTAAATAGGAGATCAGACTACTTTGGAGCCGTAGTACATTATTTGGATATAGGGAGAGACCTGCAGGAGAAAGTGAACCAAGCATATAGGCAGGACCCTATCTATAGCGACCTCCTAAAGAGAGTTAGTGAGGCCCCAGAGACCGAACCAGATTACCACACTACAGACGGGTTGCTGTTTGAGAAGACTAATGTGTTTGACTGCCTGTGCATTCCCAACAGCGAAGAGATTCGTAGTCTGATTCTAGGGGAATGTCACGATACTGAGGGACACTTCGGTTGGCAAAAGACGTTAGCCAATCTGATGCGTGCGTACACATGGCCAGGGAGAAGAACGACTGCGTAGAGTATGTCCGCAATTGTAAAGTGTGCCAGAGGAATAAATCTACTACACGCGCGCCCCTAGRTCTTCTCAGACCCTTGCCTATTCCGGATCAGCCGGGAGACTCGGTATCCATAGACTTCATGGACACGCAAGTCAAGAGCAGACATGGTAAGAGCCAAGTCATGGTCATAGTCGACCGTTTTAGTAAGTATGCAGTTTTTGTTCCCTTGCCTGCAGAGGCACGTACAGATTTAGTAATACAGAAGTTCTTTGACTTTTGGGTTAGTGAGAATGGAATCCCATTGTCAATAGTTAGTGATAGGGACAGTCGTTTCACCAGTCAGAACTGGCAAGAACTAATGAGAGTCTACGAATCTAAGTTGTTAATGTCGTCCGGCCGTCACCCAGAGACTAACGGTCAGACAGAACAGATGAACAAGATCCTACAGCAAGTTCTGCGCATGTACATTAGACCAGATCAGATTTACTGGGATGAGATGTTGCCTAAGGTAGCTAGTGCATACAACAACAGCGTGCATCTATCCACCTGCCGCACCCCCAATGAGTTGCACTAGTCCTTCAGACCGCGCAGACCGTTCGAAGGACTGAACCGGGATCAGATTCACAGATTACCACCCRGTACCAGGGAGTTTGCGATACAACACGAAAAGGAATTAGCCACTGTTGTTGAGAACCTTTGGAAGGCCCAGCACAGAATGATAGAGCAGGCTAACAGGCACCGACGCCCATCGTAGTTTCAGGTGGGTGACTTAGTCTGGGTCAAAGCAAAAGAGTTTGCACCGGAAGAAAACATCTTGCAAAAGTTACTGCCTGCATATAGAGGACCGTGGCCGGTTCTAGAAGTCAAGGGCAGAGAGGATGGACCGTCCTACAGCATTGAGATTCCAGCACACCTCCACACGTACCCTGTGTTCCATGCTTCAAAGCTGCTGCCGTGTGTCCCTAGTCAACAGTTCCCTTCCAGGAGATCCATGATCCCACCGGATATGGATGGGAGCTATGACATAGAGGGCATTGTAGAAGAGGATGTGTTTAGGACAGGAGGTAGAGGTCGTCCCCA